GATATATATATATGTGAAGAGATGTAGAGAATATAATTATATTATTCTTAAACTATTGCTACATCCTTATACTTAGCTTTTTGACTAGTTTTTTCTTGAAGTTCCTATTTGGGTTTTTAATTTAGAAGGTTACGTGTGTCGTCATGGGCTAATGATTTATTATTTCATTTCTTCATTAACTGATTTGGTTAATTTCACAGATCACCTTTTACTGACTATTGTGTCATTGATTCTTGCAGATCAATTCATTTGATGATCATTTGCAGATTACTTTATTGCGTCACATTTCTAATTTCCCAAAAATCATTTAGGTTACAGTAATAATTGATAAACAAATCAAAATATATTATGTGAACTAATTTTAAAAATATATAGAAAAATCTTAATAATTGATATATCTATATAATTTTAGTAATATTTTATTAAAATCTAATATAATTAATTTTCTTTATTTTATATTAGATATCTAATTATTTTAACATTTAAACTTGTATGATAATATCAAACTGAAGTAATACAGTTAAAATATTTAAACTATTTGATGAATTTATTAAAAACTTATTTATAGAAAAAATAAGAAAGAAAAATAATAAATGATTTATCAAAAATCTGGATGTATTTTGAATAGCAAATGAATTCCATAGATATAAATCAGATTTTAACTAATATAATAAATAAATTGTTATAGACTAATCAATAATTTTATAGAATGAATTAACAAAATAATAGAATCTGTATATACTAATAATCAAACAAAATTAATATTTTTGAAATTTACGTATAAAATAAAATTTTATTATAATATGATATTATAATAAAAGAAAATAGACTAAATATTTTTAAATTTGAGTTAATCATATTATTTAATACAAATAATTAAACAACAGTTATTTTTTTTTTTATATTGAACTTTAAATAATTATTAAATTTTAAATTATTATTATATTTAATAATAACAATCAGAAATAATTTGTGTTATAAAAAAAAATCAAAGATAATTAGTTTTTCTTTTTAATCTAATGCAAAAATTATTAATAGCAAATATTTTTTTTTGTTAAAAAAAATCTAAATAATCTATTTAGATCTTTTTATAATAATAAAATAATAAATATTAATAATCATATAATATAAGAGTTAATAAAAATGATAAATAGCTTATAAAATCTTTAATAATACAAATTAAATCTAGATTTTTATTTGTATTATTATCAAAGATAAATGTATTTATTGGAAATATATTTGAAATAGTTCAATACAAAAATAAATATAGATACTATCACACAATGATATTATGTTTACCATATGGAAGGCGGTCAATAGAAAAGGGAAAAATCTAAAATTTTGTTAATTTTTATTATTAAGCTAATGTTATGTATATAATGTATATGACCGAGATCAGCCAAGTGGTCTAATAATATAAATTTTGACTAAAATTTGGATTTCTCCCTTTTCTACTGACCACCTCCCATATATCAGAATTATATAAAAATGCAAAAAAAGGTATTTGTAAAATATTGATAAAACAAAAAAATTTAGTAGCATATTTTAAAATAAAGATTTCTTGCAAAGTTAAAAAATAATTTAATTCATTAAGATATAATAGAAAATTCATTTCAAAAAATTATTTGATTATATAAAAATATATGATAAAGTATTATATACAATACCTTATATTTATTAAGCTATAGTATAATGAAGGATTATTATAACTGAGAATTTATTGAATCTTGATTTAATGATAATTTCACATCAAATTCTAATATGCTGCCTCCTTCTCCTCCTATTTTATTTAAATCAACTAATGTTATTGTTAACATAGATGATTTATTAGACATATTTGATAATAATAGTATAAGTAATAATAATATATCTATACCTTCTCAATCATTATTGACTAATCACCAAAATAATGGAATCAAATAATCTTCAAAGAAATAGAAAATTGTGACACAATAAAATAATTTACAATGTGATTAATATGTAATTTATAAAAATTGATTTATAAGAATTTATGATACAATAATCTGCACTAAAGGTTTATTTTTAACCAGTTATTTAACTGGTTAAAACATTTATTTTATTAACTGATTAAAGATTTATTTTAATCAGTTAAAATAACTAATGTTTAACTCTAACCAAAATTTGATTTTTAAGTAAAATTCAAATTTTTTGCAATTACAAAATTTTCCTAGTTTTGTCTAAATTTATAGTGATGATTTGAGTTAAATTTAACTAGTTAATTAACTGGTTAAAGAATTTTTTAATCAGTTATTAACTGGTTAAGGATTTTTGGGCTAGTTTCAACCTTTAATTTACACAAATAATTTAAAAAATTAAACAAATCAATTAATGAAGAGATAAAGTAATAGATCATTAGCCTATGATGACATGTGTAGCTTTTTAAACTAAAAACTCTAAAAGGAAACTTCAAGGAGAAACTATTTAAAGGCTAAATATTGAAATGTAGTAATAATTAAAGACTAATATAATTATATTTTATATCTCTTTACAACTAATTTTATAATTTATAAACCATTAATAAATTGTGATTAAACATGACTGAAAATATTTTATAATAAAATAATTAAAATATTACGATTAAATGTGATTGAAAAATTATTAATAATCCATGAATTATGAAATTAACTGTAAATATAAATATATTATAGGTATTGCATAGCAATTAAATAGTTATTACTTAATTATTATAATAAAATTACATAGAAAGATGAGAGAATTATTATATAGTTTTTATTCAATAGATAGCAATTTAATGTAGAAAATTTATTATAAATAAGCTGATTTTTTCATCATATATCAATAGAAATTTTAGAAGTTAAATTTATAAGTTAATAAAAACTCTTTGCTAATTTATCTTATATAAACAATTAGAGTTCTAAATGAGCCAAGCCAACTTTCAAATCAAATGAGTTGAGTCAAGTTGAGTTGAGTCAAATCAAAAAAATTTGACTCGTTTAACTTGAGTTGAGTTTCAAATTAAGTTTGACTCAACTCGAGTCAAAAGTTAAGTAAAACTTGAGCACAAAGTCAAGCTGAATTTGAGTAAAAATTTAACAATTTTTTTTAAAGAAAGTATAAAAAAAATCATTTAGATAGAACAATATACATAGTTCTAAAAGAAATATAGAAGTTTTATTCTGATAGAATGATAAATCATCATTTTATAGGAATAATAAAAAAAATCATTCTGATAGAACTATAGTATATTATTCTTAAAGAACAATTTTATTTATCGTTCCTTTAGAACAATATATTATCATTCTATCAGAACACTTTTTTCTATCATTTCTTTAAAATGATACACCATCATTCTATCAGAATAATTCATTCTATCGTTCCTTTAGAATAATGTATTATCATTCTATCAGATCAATTTTATTTATTGTTCTTTTAAAATAATCTTTTATTGTTCAATTGGAATAAATTATCTAATGCATCTTTATTTATTAAATATTAAATATAACTTGAGTTAAGTCAAATTAAGGTTTAAAAATTTTTTGACTTGACTTGAATTAACTTGATTTTTTTAAGTCGAGTTGAGTTTGACAAAAACTCGCTTAACCTAACTTATTCAAAACTCTATAAACAACCTTTTGTGTCTAACTTATTTTTGTGTCAACCATGTTAACTAAAGCTCTAAAAATTTCAGATTAGTTTAGATTAGAAGCTAATCCAATCTGATCTGTGATTTTTAGTTTAGTTTAGTTCAGATTATAAATCTAAAAAATGTCAATTTGAACTGATTTGATTTGAAACTTTTGAGTAATCTGATTTAAACTGGAAATTTTTAGATTAATCCAAAATTTTGGATTATTAAAAATTAATAAAAATTTCTTTAACTGTTTAGACATAACTTTTATTAGTATTTTTTTTAATAAATGTCATTTTTGATAATTTAGTTGTAATAATAAAAGTCACTTCTGATAATTTGGACATAACTTTATTAGAAAATATTATACTCAAAGTATCAGATGTGACTTTTATTAAAAAAAATGTTAATAAATTTACCTTTAAACTGTTACTGTTAGATGACTTTTATTATGAAAAATAATAATAAAAGTCACTTTTGAATTGTTGAAAGTGATAAAAGCTATGTCTGACAGTTTGAATGCAACTTTATTAGAAAAAGTTACATTTGAAATATCAGAAGCAACTTTTATTAAAATAAGATAATATAGTCACATTTGAATTGTTGGGTGACTTTTATTATAAAAAATGATAATAAATTCGCTTATGAAAATTCAAATGATATAAAAAGCTACATCTGACAGTTATAGTTGCTTGACGAAACCTCAGGGTATTGACAATTGTCGAAAGTCGAAACCTATTTAGACGTTTTGACTTTTTA